CCGTGGGACCTGCCCGCCAAGCCTGCACAGAGGCATTTGCCGGATAGCTCAGGCAAAGGCTAGATTAGCACCTCCCTAGAGGACACAAGTTCTTCCACTGCAGACAAAGCTGATTATCACAGCCAGTCGGCCTGGAGGTCAAATCCCTCTAGTATTAACTATAACAATCAAGGCTTAACTACAACAAGACTGCGCACAAAGACCACTAGGGGGTGTACCAAGAAAGCGTAAAAAATGCGGAGACAAAGAAACAGGACAAAACTATCAAGGGAGGATATTGAGTTCAGAACCACACTTTTGAGGTCTCTCAAGAGGCTTCTAGAATCTGTCGATAAACTTGATGAGATGTACAGGAAATCTAATGAGACCCTCGATGGTGTGATAAAGGACCATCTAGAAAGTAAGCATACACTGACTGAAATAAAGAATATTATACAGACTCCCAACAGCAGACCAGAGGAGCGCAAGAATCAAGTCAAAGATTTGAAATGCGAAGAAGCGAGAAACACCCAACCGGAAAAGCAAAATGAAAAAAGAACCCAAAAATACGAAGATAGTGTAAGGAGCCTCTGGGACAGCTTCAAACGTACCAACATCAGAATTATAGGGGTACCAGAAGATGAGAGAGAGCAAGATATTGAAAACCTATTTGAAGAAATAATGACAGAAAACTTCCCCCACCTGGTGAAAGAAATAGACTTACAGGTCCAAGAAGCGCAGAGAACCCCAAACAAAAGGAATCCAAAGAGGACCACACCAAGACACATCATAATTAAAATGCCAAGAGCAAAAGACAAAGAGAGAATCTTAAAAGCAGCAAGAGAAAGAAACTCAGTTACCTACAAGGGAATACCCATACGACTGTCAGCTGATTTCTCAACAGAAACTTTGCAGGCCAGAAGGGAGTGGCAAGAAATATTCAAAGTGATGAATACCAAGAACCTACAACCAAGAGTACTTTATCCAGCAAAGCTATCATTCAGAATTGAAGGTCAGATAAAGAGCTTCACAGATAAGGAAAAGCTAAAGGAGTTCATCACCACTAAACCAGTATTATATGAAATGCTGAAAGGTATCCTTTAAGAAGAGGAAGAAGAAGAAAAAAGTAAAGATACAAATTATGAACAACAAATATGCATCTATCAACAAGTGAATCTAAGAATCAAGTGAATAAATAATCTGATGTACAGAATGAACTGGCGATTATAATAGAATCAGGGACATAGAAAGGGAATGGACTGACTATTCTTGGGGGGAAAAGGGATGTGGGAGATGCGGGAAGAGACTGGACAAAAATCGTGCACCTATGGATGAGGACAGTGGGTGGGGAGTGAGGGCGGAGGGTGGGGTGGGAGCTGGAAGGAGGGGAGTTATGGGGGGAAAAAAAGAGGAACAAATGTAATAATCTAAACAATAAAGATTTAATTTAAAAAAAAAGATGTTATTCCTAATAGTTGCTTATTATGGGCCAGGCCCCTAATTCAGCTTCTTCCAGATAGTTAAGGGAAAGACACAGGTTTTTCTTGAGCCTGCGACTAAAGTTGCCTTTAGCTCAACCTTCACACCACGGAGACACAGCTTGGGGGGACTTGTTCTGAACCCCCACACTTAACTATGAAAGAGAGAAGAAAGAGGATTAGGACTGCCAACAATAGCCCCTCACTTACGTGATCTCATACAAACCACCTAACCTCTCAAGCTATTAAACTTGGTACGTAAACACACCTGAGCTTAATGCAGGCTCCTGAGGGCAGTGGCCATACCTACACTAACACCTCCAGGCCTCTGGAGCCATGGCACTAGCCATTTGAAAAATGCCTGCTGGACGATGTGAAGTGTGAGCAATAAATAACACGCACTCGGATCTGAATGCTCGCCAGGCACTGTGCTCTGCGCCGTACCGAGCGCGAGAGCATCCTTCACAACCCCGAGGGAGGCACTACAACCAGCCCATTTACCCAGGAGGCGACAGACTAAGTGAGGCAGGTAAGGGGCCCAAAGTCCACCACCAGTGGGTCTCGGAGCAGGAGGGCATTTTCCAACTCAAAAGCTGCAGAGAGACAGAGCATGCTCCATGACGTGGCTGAAAGGAGCCAGAGCCAGTAACCCATCTTAAACTACAAGACTTCCGGAAAAGAAGAAAAGGGAATTAATTGTTCCTGCTAGGTCCCTAGGCCGGAGCCGCAGTGCGCCCGCCCCTAGCTTGACTTCCGCCAAACCTCGGCGGGTTCCCGGGAAGCCTCTGCTAGTCTCGCGATGCCCCAGGCTAAGGCGAGACCCGGGTGACTGAGAACTGGGCAGTGCGCGAGCTGATGACGAAAGCGGAAGTGCTGGGGCCAGAGGCGGGACGAGAGCCCGGAGGGGCCCGGGATTGCGGAAGTTTTGTGAGGAGGGTAAGGGGCTCTCGGGGCTCCGTGTGGTTTCGGAACAAATTCCGGAAGGGAGGCCGCTGCTAGGGGGTCCGAGAGTCCCCAACCTGTGCTCGTTTGGGGCCACTCCAGGCGCCACTCGACGTCGCCGCTCTTGGTCCCGTGCCCTCGTTCCTCCGCAGGGAACCGCCTCGGGTCTCCGCCATGGCGTCCACCTCGACCAACCTCCAGGTAGGACTGTTCTCCCACCCGCCCTGGAGGGCTGGAGGCGCGGGGCGGGGGGCGGAGGGCGGGGAAGAGGGAGGAGGAGGGCGGCGCCCAGGCGCAGGTCTGGGCGGCCGGTGCTTTCCGCTCGCTTCCGGGGTCTCCCTCCGGCTTTCGGAGACTCCTGACTGATGTTGAGACTTTCCTTTTCCCTTAACCAGCCGCCTTTGAAGCGAACTGGGCAGCGCTGTGAGCAGACGCTTCCGTCTGTGTCGGAGAGAGTGGGAAGCACGGAATGTGTGCAAAGCTCTGCGCTGGACCAGTGGAAAGGGGGGCGGTCCTAGTTGGCGCTTCGTTCCTCGGGCTGGTGCTGCAGAGCTCTTCCCTTCGAGCTGTCAAGCGAATAGAGACGGGGAACGGTCTTGGACTCGGAAGAATCCGTGGGTTCATTGAGAATATGCGTTTGTGTGCACTCCTCTGTGGCTCCCAGAGTGTAGTGTATAAGATCAGGGGGTGGTTTTGAATTACCTTGTGGCTCCACCTCCCCGCCCCACCCCAGTGAGCATGGTCTTTTGTGCACCAATCAAGGAGCCCTAAAATTTTAGACTTCATCGTTAGGCCTCTGTGGAGCGGACATTGAGAACTTTCTGGAAGTGTCTCCCATCCCCAGAGTGGATCTGGGGCTTCGGAATGTGACTTAGCCTCGAGTACTTGGGTTTTCTTGTTTGCGGTAGGAATCGATGGGTGCCCTGCGCTGGCTGCTGCGGGGTGGCAAGTGTGGAAGCAGGCTGACCACCGAGGAGACTGGGCACTAGTATTGACAAGTGCGATCGTGGATTTAACCAGGGCGGGAGCTAGGAAAATGGTCAGATTGTATCCTAAAAGAATTACTAGCACTCCCAAACCACGCAAGACACAGTTAACTTCATTTCAAATTAAAAATGCTAACAGACACAAGGGTGAAGTGGGACATTCAGCAGGGAAAATCATCATCCTTCATTAAAGGCTTAACATGCGTTGTCAGTACAGTAGCAACATGTGGCTGTTTAAATTTTGCTTAAAGGAAATTTAAAACTCACTCCTCAGTCACACTAACCACAAGTGCGCAGAAGTCGTGGCTTCTTGTGGTTCCTGTATTGGACGGTGTAGAGGCATGTCCATGAGAGAAGGGTTGGTTTAAAGTCAGGGTACTGTATTTGGAGATAGATTATTAAATACTGGTTGTAAGCATTTTACTTTAACAAAGGTCAGTGTCGTGCCTAAAAGAGGGCTGACCTCGAATGAGGAGACTGCGCCCGTGGTGAGTGGCACAGTGAGTAAAAATAATAGAAGAAAATTACAGCCAGAATAAGAAAGAACTTATTTCTGCACATGGCTTAGCCACTGAGCCTTCCTGATACATTTTTATATGACCAGGCACATAACCCACCAGGTGACCACATGCTACAACTTTGAGACCTTTATATTTTGCCTAGTTTACCAAACTTTTGAAAATTTAGCTTTAAGTTCAGGCTAATTGAGCTGTGAAACAAGTAACTTCTACTTTTGTCAATTTGAAAGCATATGACTTCTGTTCTTCCTTGCTGCTACAAAACAGGGTGTGTGTGCCCCAATAACAGCCTCTTCTCCCATTTACAGCTTTCATTCTTTCTCTGCAATCTGCTTCAAAATATAATATTCTTACATGTGATTGGTTTGGGGGTTCTTTGAATAATTTTTTCTTATCTGAGTTATATGCTTACTTTTAATATAGTAGAATCATGACCATTTTTTTTTCCCCTACAGGCTCTTACTTCTGTTGCATACAGTTTTACGACCTAAATTAATCTAGTTGGAATATTTATAAGTACCGCGCGCTAACCGATTGCGCCACTGGAGCTCCTAGTTGGAATATTTAAATAAACCATGCTTGTTTTATATGTGTATGTATATTTTAAAAAATTAAAGATAGTTTTTTAATGAAAATTTTACCTTGACATAATTATAGATTCACACTCAGTTGTGAAGAAATAATACAGAGATCTTGTGTACTCTCTATCCCGTTGCCTCACATGGTGGCATCTTGTAAAATTATAGTACAGTATCACAACCAGATGGGCACACCGATCCATTCTACCAGTCGTGTTCAGATTTCCCCACTTTCACTTGTACTAGTGTGTATTTGAGTGTGTGTAGAGTTCTGTCAGGTGTAGGTTCAGGTATCCATCACTACCATCATGATATAGAATAGTTCTATCCATAAGGATCCCTCCTGACCTTTTATAACCACAGTCACCTAACGTCCCCTGTAAACCGCCCCCCCCCCCCTTTCCCTACCATCTCTGTATCAGTAGTTCCTTTTTGGCACTGAGTAATACTCCATGGTAGGGATGTTCCACAGTTTACCATGCAATCATTGACGGACATCTGATGCATTCATGTACAAGTTTGTGCATGAACATAGGTCTTGCTTCTATGGAATAAATGCCCAGTAGTGCAGTTGCTGGTTCATATGGTAGTTGCAAGTTTAGATTTGTTTGAACAAACCAGTTTCCCAGAGTGGTTGTATCATTTTACATCCTACCTGTAGTATATGAGTGGTCAATTTTTCTGTATCCTCACCACTATTTGATATTGTCACTGGTTTTTATTTTAGCCATTCTGATAGATGTGTAGTGACATCTCATTGTGGTTTTAATTTGCATTTCCCTAATGGCTAATGATGTTGAACATCTTTTCATGTGCTTATATTTGTATATCCTCTTTGGTGAAATGTCTCTTCAGGTCTTGAGCCCATTTTCTCCTTAGATTCTTTTTATAACTGTTGAGCTTTTCGAGTTCTTTATATATTTCATCTCCTGTTTCATAGGTCGATGCTCAACCACTGAGCCACGCTGGTTGGGCCCAAATACTACTCTTTTGCTGGGCATGTGGTTTGCAAATATCTCTCCCAGTCTGTAGCTTGTCCTTTTAACAATCTTTTACAGACCAAAAGGTTTTAAATTTGATGAAAAAATTTTTTTTTCTTTTATATATTGTGCTTTTGGTATCAAGTCTAAGAACTAAGATTTTATAGTTTTATATTTTATATTTAAGTCCATAATCCATTTTGAGTTAATTTGTATATAAAGTGTGGGGTTTAGGTTGAAGTTTAAGTTCTCTCTTTGCTTATGGATATCCAGTTGCTCTTATACCATTTATTGAAAATTCTATTTTACTGCCATTTACTTGCTTTTGCATTGTCATTCAGTTGGATGTATTCGTATGAATTTATTTCGGGGAATTTTTTTAACAAAAAATACTTCAAAAGTAGACTATGTGCATTATGGACATTTTTAGAAGATGCGGAAGTAGAAAATGAAAAAATTAAAGTCTTATCAAAGATAAGTTCAGTTAAATTTCCTCCCCATCTTTTTCCTGTGCTTTTTTTTTCCTGTTGTTCCAAACAGTTGAACTTGTACTACATGTAAAAATTGTTTCTTTCCAAAAACTTTAATTATAAATATATTTCATGTTACTAATGTTTCAGGCCTAAGCCGGCAGTCAGACATCCCTCTCGCATTCCAGGGCTCTCACAGTCCAGGACCCCTCGCTCCTTACCACCCACCTGCAGTGGAGGCAGGAGAGGCTCCTGCCACCTTCTCTGTGCTCACCATGAGCCTGGCTTCTGGCTGAGTGGTGCTCCCTCTGTGGGAGCACACTGACCACGAGGGGGCAGCTCCTCTGTTGATCATGTGCCCCCTGGTGGTCAATGCGTGTCATAGTGACCTATCATTCTGCCGGTCATTCTGCTGTTTGTATATTAGGATTTTATTATATAGGATGTTATTGTGATTTAGAAAAAAGATGTATTTGTTTTAAGGTTGTATTTTTTAAAAACAACTTTCCATATGATTATTTACTTCAAACTTACACTTATGCTTTGATTTTGATGGTTTGATTTCAGTGGTGTGATTTTGATGGTATGATTTTGCTTCTCCTCAAACAGAAAGCAATAGATCTTGCTAGCAAAGCAGCCCAGGAAGACAAGGCTGGGAACTATGAGGAAGCCCTTCAACTCTATCAACATGCTGTCCAGTATTTTCTCCACGTAGTTAAATGTAAGGTCATAGTTTGTTTCTTTATTTAAAAACACCAAAAGAAAATTTAATCTGTTTCATTTATGAACATTCCAGTACAATGCCAGAAAATTCTAAACTATCAATTTGCAAATATATATACTATAAATACAATATGATATATTTCTAAATATATATGAAATATATAAAATATAACATTAATTTGCAAATATAAATAAATCCTACTAGTTTTCTAGCATCTAGACAGGTTTTGGGTACTCAGTTAATAAATCTGCACAACTATTATAGTTGTTACTTCGCATACCTGAACATGTCATATAGTCAGTAGAAATGTTTTTATTTTATTATACCCAATTTGTATAATCTGAACCTTCTCATCTTCTAAGCATCTCTTTGAAAATACTGTTTTTAAAAAGGTTGGGAACCTTTTTTTCTTTTCCATGTATTTTTCGAATATTGGACGTTCCGTATGTGTCAGGCACTGTTCCAGGCATGGGGATCCAGCAGTATTGGAAAAATGGGGAAAATCTCCTGCCTTCATGTATCTTAAGTGTAATGCTGAACATAGGTGAAATAAGATGTTAGAAAAGACATCTTTCTGGTAAAATTCAAGTTATTTCTAAATAAAATTTTAGCCATTGGATAATTCAGCATTTTCTTTTGAGTTTCCTATTTAAGTTTTGAGACTTTTCTGTCAAATTAAAGTGAAACTAAGAATGAATTATAACATGCAAAATGTGGGGCCAATCCCATGCACTGCGTATATTGCTGAAGTCTACTTTTCAGGTAGCTCTCACAGAGGCCTGCCCATATGTAGTAAATTACTATGTTGTTGGTACACATAATATATGGGATTTTTATCACTTTTTATACTCTGAAATAAAGCTTATGTAGACATGAATGGAAATTGTTAATGTTGCTTTATTTCTGTTTGTGTTACTGGTTTTATATGAGACTAGAGGCCCAGTGCACGAAATTCGTGCATGGCGGGGCGGGGGTCCTTCAGCCCAGCCTGCATCCTCTCCCATCTGGGACTGCTGGCTCCTAACCACTCACCTGCCTGCCTACCTGATTGCCCCTAACCACTCTGCATGCCAGCCTGATCGCCCCTTAACTGCCCTCCCCTGCCGGCCTGATCTCCCCTAACTGCCCTTCCCTGCCAGCCTGATTGCCCCTGACAGCCTGTTTGCCCCTAACTGCTCTTCCCTGCCCCCACCACTGTGGCTTTGTCCGGAAGGGTGTCCGGAAGATGTCCGGTCTAATTAGCATATTACTCTTATTAGTATAGATAAGCAGCTTTCAACTATCTATATAAAATGTAAGGGAAGAGAATAGAATATTAGATAATTTCTTACTATCCAATATTAACTTAAAATATTCTAGTGCCTTGCTCAGATCTATTTCTGATTCAAACCCACTGTTGGCCTCTGAACTTGCTGAGAAGGAATAATAAAGATTGACAATCCTTGGTTAGGATGAGCTAAATATAATCTTCCTCCCCCAAAATGGATTTTCGTTGTTTAAAAGTATATCTAAGGCCCTGAAAAGTGTTGCAGTGGTTAGAGCATTGGCCCATGGACCAAAGGGTCTCAGATTTTATTCCTAGTCAAGGGCATGTAACTGGGTTGCAGGTTCGGGGCACGTGTGGGAGGCAACCAATCAATGTATCTCACCTCGATGTTTGTCTCTTCCCTCTCTCCCTCCCACTCCCTCCTTCTCTTTCTCCCACTCTCTTGTGTGGCATCTCCCTTAAAAAATTCAGTGGAAAAAATATCCTTGGGTGAAGATTAACCAACATAAAAAAAGTATATCTAAGAGCTTAAAAATATCTGGATGGAACACTAATGGAAAAATCTCTCTCATTTCCCTTTAATAGATGAAGCACAGGGTGATAAAGCCAAGCAAAGTATCAGGGCAAAGTGTACAGAATATCTTGATAGAGCAGAAAAACTAAAGGAATACCTGAAAAAGAAAGAGAAAAAACCACAGAAGCCAGTGAAAGAAGGACAGCCGAGTCCAGCTGATGAGAAGGGGTATGCATTTTTTTTTCATTTTCTTTTATTATTTTTTGTACACCCCAGCGACCAGACATTACATAACTTAATACGTGATCATCCCAATAAATCCTGCACCCATCCAGCACCATGCCTAGTTATTACAAATTACTGACTATTCCCTATGCTGTACTTTACATCCCCATGACTATTCTGTAACAACCAATTTGTACTTCTTAAGCCCTTCACCTTTTTTCAACTAACCCACCTCCCATCTGGCAACCAACAAAAAGTTCTCTGTATCTATGTGTTTTCTGTTCTGCTTGTTCATTTTGTTTGTAGATTCAATTGTTGATAGATATCTACTTATTGCCATTTTATTGTTTATATTTTTTATCTTCTTTTTTTCTTAAATAAGACCCTTTAACATTTCACATAATACTGATTTGGTAGTGATGAACTCCTTTAGCTTTTTCTTGTCTAGAAAGCTCTTTATCTTTCTATTTTAAATGATAGCTTTGTGGGGTAGAGTAATCTTGGTTGTAGGTCATTGCTTTTTACTGTTTTGAATATTTCTTGCAACTCCCTTCTGGCCTGCAAAGTTTCTGTTGAGAAATCTACTGACAGTCTTATGGGATCTCCGATGTAGGTAACTAATTGGTTTTCTCTTGTTCCTTTTAAGATTCTCTGTTTGTCTTTAACCTTTTGCATTTTAATTACAATGTGTATTAGTGTGGGCCTCTTTGAGTTCATCTTGTTTGGGACTCTCTATCCTAGAGTGTTAGATTTTATTGTATCAATTAAAAGATAAAATTAAATTGTATTTGTGAAATAAATTTCTTTCATTTAAACTAGGTATTGGCAATGGCTCATGGGCCAAGTCTGACCTGCAGCCTGTTTTTATAAATAAAGATTTATTGGAACAGAGCCTTACCCATTCATTTACCTATTGGCTATGGCTGTTTTTGTGCTGTACCAACAAGGTTGAATAATTGCAACAGAAACTTTCTGACCATACAAAACCTAAAATATTTACTGTCTGGTCCTTTATAGAGGAAGTTTCCCAACCCCTACTTTACCAAGCTTAGGGACAATATACCTCAACTGACTCTCCATGACCACTTGGTAGTAGTAGGAAAAAACATTTGTAGGAATGGTACTCAGTTCTTTACCCTCTGGCCATTATATAACATTGAAGTTTGAAATTATAGGAATGATATGTGAATTAAATTTTTGATTAATAGTATTGACTCTTAGTCTGTACTAACCACATGGACAAAAAGAAAAATGACTCCAATAATGTGAATTATTTTTTTGGATATCTTATGTAAAGTTTTTCTTTATATGAATTTGCTTTATATTTGCTTTTATTTTGTCATTGTGAAGAAATCAACACAGCATTATTTATAAACATCTAAACCAGTGGCACACGCCCCACAGAGGAGCAATTTGATTTTTAAGGGGGACAATTCAAGAATGAGTTATTAACAATGAATTTTTTGCATTTTTTTATGGTTCTAGGACCTCATATACAGTATATAAATATATATTGTGACATATTTATGCATTTTAGTTTTCTATTAAAGCTTTGAAACTTTATTTGCTATTTTTTCATATCACTTCATATTATTTTAATAATTCCTTCCTCAGTACTTCAACTGTTCTTTTGTTCTTTTATTTTTCTCTTTCATGGAAGCCATGTTCTTTGGAAGCTTGTTTAGACCAAGTTAATGGCCTTTTAGGCTTCCTCCACGTGAATAGGAATTCACTTTTGGAATAAGAATTTTATGTCACAGAGTAGGCATCAGGATTTTCGAGATGCTTAGGTGGGGCATGGCCAAAAAATGGTTGGGAACCACTTATCTAAACTCAATTTTGGAATGTCTTCCCAGATGGGAGATGTATCACTAACAGATGGAAAGTTCATTATTCAGTATGTTCGGGCCAAGTTCGGTGCTGAGCAGTGGGAACATACTCTACGCAGATCCTCTGACCATTCTGTTAATTGGTGCCAGAAGTGGTTCTAGATGACAACACACTCTTAAGAAGATTAGATTCTGGGGAGGGGTTATTTGCGTTTGAAGGCAGAGGTTCTGGTTAGCTTTAGAGGATATAATACTCGTGGTTCATGGTATGCAGTGGCACAAGCTACTTAGCCAATCCCCTGTGGTCACCAGGAATGGAGAGCCTTGAAGGCAGTGTTTTGGGAGATTGGGGCTACTACCGTAGGCCAGTTTGAAGGACATGAGCAACATGAGAACTAGAGTTAACTAGCTGCTTCAAACTGCATGGGAGAGCTTGAACAAAATTATAAGCTCAAAGGTGTTATATCTTCTGTTCAAGACATGGTCAGGGAACCAGGGATTTTTTGTGACACCGAAGAATATTTTACCTTCTGCAGCTAATAGCATTGACATACAAAAATCAGACCCCAATTGATCTTGTGGATTATTGAATGCCAACAGACATTCAACTTCACCAGGTTTCTTATATAAAAGTGGGACATTTATTGGAAGACTGAGTCTCCAAACTTGAAGTGAAACTATTGTGAAGAATTCAGTTAACTTTGAGAGCCTGGACCCCCAACTCTTCTTGAAACTCCCTTGCCAGCAGAAATGCCCTTTCCTCCCTGAGAGTTGAAGCTCTTCTGGTCTTACTTGAAGATGCTGTAATGTGCTCTGCTGAGATGGCTACCTAGCAAAGGGATGCCAGTTCTGAATTGAACTGCAGGACCTACTTTGGCTAATTTAAGTAAAGGGGATTTATTATAGTGTATTACCTTACAGAGTCTGGGGGCCAGAGAATCCAGCTTGGGTTCCATACTGCTAGAAGAAATGCCCAGCTCCACCAGGTTCGTTCTGACAGACCCACTGCTGCCAACTCCCCTGTCAAGCACTTACAATGCCAGGAAGTGGGGTGTAGCTCCCTCAGCAAAGCCAATGCTTTCACCCAGAGGCGTGCCCTTGCATGCAGACCCCATCTCAGTTGCTTGCTTGCTTCTTGGAGAAACTTTGGTCTTATGTGGAGCCCTAGCTGCAAGGGAGCCTAGGAAGGGCAGTGCTATCAGTGTAGCCTTTATTGTACCAAGAATGCATGGTAGAAGGAGGTTGGCCTGAGTGTCAAGTGAATCACTTTGCAGTCTCTACCTTGCTCCTAGACCCACCATCCTGGGAAAACCAAGGCGTTCCTATTTTGGAATAAAACCTGTCAGGTGTTTTATCTGCCTTTATAGCTTATATTTGAAAAATGATGTAATATTCTATATTTTGCTTTATTTTTCACTCAACCTTTCAGTAAACCATTTCTACATTTTTATCAGGATTGCAATGTATTCTATAATATGCTAATCCCTGTAACTAATTGAACAAACATTATTCTGTTTTCCCTGTTGTGAACAGTGTGGGCATGATTAGCCTTGTAGTCAAATCCTTTAACTCATCTTAAGTTATTTCCTCAGAATAAATTCTTAGTTATGAAATATCTGGGTTGATCTGCTTATTCTTTGGGCTCAGTTCATTTTCATCAGAAGCTTCATTTATCCTTTGGAAGCCCTAGACTAAGGATTATAGACCTTTGTGCCTTAAATAATGAATAATGGTTTTTTTTCCTCCTAGTTATGGCTTCTTGTTCTAATATATAGTTTGCCTGGTTCTAGTGTTTTTATTGTTGTTTACAGCTCTTCTGTAATTCATCTTAAATCTTTTGTGGGATGAGGTGTGGGGTATGCATTTATGAATTAGCACTTACATAGGTGTGTCATGGGAATTTGGAGCTAGTTCCTGATTTCATTCTGGTCTTTTTGCCCCTTTCCTGTTCATGATTCCATATTGATGGATAATATGCCTGCTTAATAATTTACTTAATATATTCTTAAAAGTAATAAAATAAGCATAACTTTTCATGTGAATGTCTCATTTTGCCACTTATAATATTTCAAATTAATCTTTTCTTCATTTTTGCCTTATTTTGATAGCAAGGAGTGATCATTTGAATATATTAAATTCTTTTTATTAGGAATGACAGTGATGGGGAAGGAGAATCAGATGATCCTGAAGCAAAGAAACTACAGAATCAACTTCAAGGTTGCTTTAGATTTCATTTTTAAATTTACTATGTTATTTTTTAAAAACTCAATAGTGAATTGTCTATTTGAATTGCTTCCCCACCCCCCACCTTGTATTTAAATAGGTTCAAGAATTGGCTTTGGTTTCTAGTGGTCACATGCTGGTTTTCATAGGATTTTCTCCTTAAGGTCTCTAATGGGTTGGGGTTTTTTCCGTGAAGTAAAAATATTGTTTGGTTTTTTTTGCCTGCCTTAAAAAGCCTGTCAGATTTTTTATTTTGTCTGGTTTTTCCCCTGTTAAGAGAAGGTAACATTTAGACTAATAACAGACTACCAAATCTGAGGGTATCAAAATATCCTGTCAGGAACAGAATGAATTAGTACTTACACCTGGCTTTTGTTGTTATTGCTGTAGCTTATTTATTGATGATTTATTTCATGTTTCCTACCTGCTCTTCCTCATCTGCCTTTTTTATTCTATTTCAGCACTGCCCTTTATATTTCTTTCTGTCTACTTTTTACCTTCCACACAGAAGAAAACCCTTTCATTCTCCTCAACTATAGTGGCATGATGGAGGGAGCATAGATTTTGGCTCCATTCAGATTTGAATTCCATCCCAGGTCGGCCACTTAAATCTAGAGCAAGTTCCCTAACATCTCAGAGTCTGAGCCCCAGCTCTAAAATAGAAATTAATATTTTTGTTTCAGGGCTAGTAAAAGATTTCTGACAATGTAAAAACTGCCTAATATTATAGTTAACAAATTCTAGGAACTCAATAAGTGGTAGCTCTGTGTATAGTCATCTATTTAATTGCTGGCTTCTTTAGTTACTGAGATTGGATTGTTTTTTTAATATGTTAATGATGCTTTTTCAGGTTGAATTTTATGTATTTTGTTCATTTGAATCTTGCCAAATAGAATGCATAACTGGGACAGATTTCCATTATATAGGCTCAGTTTGGTTCGTGAATGATGAATAGTCTCTTCATTTTGTAATATTATATCTGTCTCGTCTTGCCAACTCCACTGGGATGTATAGGAGGATACTATAAGGGCAGTACCTTAGAAACACTACAGTTAGTGAGGATATTTTATATGCCTAAAACTTCAATGGTGGATGTAGTCCAAGGATAGAACTAAGTTTCCATTGCCCAGGGCAATGGGGACACACACTTCGTACTCAGTAAGTTTGGTTGAGCAACCCAGTGGTCCTGTGCCGAGTGGCCTTATTTCAGTTGTAAGGCAAAATGCTTTCTTCTATCTGTTCTGTGCAGTAAAAATTAAACAACTAATTGTATAATAAGTATTACAATGAAAAACTGGATAAATTTATATTATTGGAAACAGTCAAATTATTTGACCTTTTTTTTAATCCTCACCTGAGGATATTTTTCCATTGATTTTTAGAGAGAATGGAAGAGAGAGAGAAAGACGGAGAGAAATATTGATGTGAGAGAAACACATCAATTGGTTGCCTCCTGCACAAGCCCTGACCAGGGCCCAGGCCGGGGAGGAGCCTGCAACCGAGGTACTTGCCCTTGACTGGAATCAAACCCAGGACCCTTTGGTCTATAGGCCGACACTCTATCCACTGAGCCAAACTGGGTATGGCTGACCTTTATTTTCTAATAATCCTATCCCCTTTTTAATTTTACAAACCATTAAGCAGTGTCTAATAATTAATATTACTTTTATTTAAGTAATCTTTTATCACTAAACATTCCAAAGTCCCCTTTAAATTTTAAGAAAAAATGTGTTAGTTAGATGTGAAGATTGATTACAGCATATTTAGAAAATTCATAGCAAAAAACTTTAGTTGACCAAGTTTGCTTGCTTACAAAGTAAATTTACTTTTGTTAACTAACATAAATCCTATCTGCTGATGTAAATTATTTCCTTATGTAGAGTTACTAAACTGAATGGAACATAGAAACGAAAAAGTGAATTGGCTTTCTCAATTCATATTTAGTCTCAACTTTTAGAGTGCAAAGAGTGTTTATGGTTTTATTTAATTTTAATCTATAGCTAATGATTTTCATAATTTAGGAAAGTTTCAGAGAATAACTACTCTTAGAATAATAGGTGATATTTTCTAATGAGAAGAAATAACCCATAAAACTAATTTCATAGATAGCAGTACATTATGTAAGTGGTAGTGCTCTATCATACAATTACACATCACCTTGGAACAAACTGCTTAGTGGTTTGTAGTTGAGCAGTTTCTATATACTGGAAAATTGGAAAAGCTTTTGATGAAAGATAAACTAGAAAGTTTTGCCAATAGTTATATTAAAAGATTCTTATTGTGACAATTGCTATAGCTTTTAAATATATGGTTTTTTAATTGTTTGGCTTTTGTTTAGCAAATCTCGGGATACTATTGCAAATCTACAAGAGTACGTTTTCTCTCTTGCCTCCATTATACCCTTCCCATCCCTTCTATCCATCTGTCCATCTATCTGTCTGTCTTCAGTTAAATTTGTTAAGTGTATTTTCTTTCTGTGGTTAAAGGAGAGTATTAGATCATCATTTTTTGGGGGTGTTTGGTTAAGAGGAGAAATAGTAAATCAACTCCCATTGAATGAGCACTTTCAATACTCCTGAATTTGTGCTGTAATGTAATGTTTGGTGCTTTTCCAAGTACTCTAATATTTATTATGTCATTTGACTCTTACACTAACATGTCCGAGGACCTTGGGCGGATGTAGTATTTTTACTTCACAATGAGGAAGCAGTCATAGGAAAGTGAATTTTCCCAGGTTCCTGACTGCTCCCTACTCCCAACTACTTCCTCATCACACTCTTTCAAAAAGGCTTTTAATACATCAGTTTTTTCCAGACAGTTTTATAATACATTTATTTAACATCATTATTTCATGTTGTCATCTACATTTGATGAAATAGTCCTCCTTAATTTAAAGATGACATAATTTTTTGTAGGTGCCATTATTATGGAGCGACCTAATGTGAAATGGAGCGATGTTGCTGGTCTTGAAGGAGCCAAAGAAGCACTTAAGGAGGCTGTGATATTGCCTATTAAATTTCCTCATCTTTTTACGGGTGAGATGGCTTTTCAATAATTTTTTTGGATGATTTTTCAAAACCACATTGATGATTGAAGTAGAGCATAGTGAATTCTTGTCACCATGTTATGATTTGTTACCTTAAATAAATTCTAAGGCGGTGTTACGCTTTTAAACAAAGATATTTATTTCACATACATACACATATGTTTAATATACATACTGCAAAAACAATCGGAATGTCAGCCAGTAGGGCACAGTGTAAATCGCCAGCATGCAGTGGAATGCTGTACACTCATCAAAGAGTGAACATCAATATCTAATGAATGTGGGAAGATGTCCACGCATATTAAAAAGGTCAAAAAGCAAGTTATAAAATATGTGTAGTATGATTCCATGTTTGTTAAATAAATGCATGTGCTAAGAAGTAGGTATAGACGGAGTGATATAATAAGATGGATGATTTTTACTGTTTTTTGCTTTTTTTTTACTTTTATCTGAAATTGTTTGTAATGGACATGTACTAGTTTTATAGGAATATTTCCACTTTTTAAAAAGAGAAGTAAGAATTACTTACCATTTTCAGATGAAGTGTGTATCCCCTAGTGGCAGAGGAGAATGTTGCTAACCCGCCACCTGGGTAAAGTTGAAGTTACAGCTCCAGCAGTGATTGATTTGTCTGTGCCAGACCATTCCTTCTCCTTGTCCTTTTCATGACTGCTAGCCTATGTTTGTGATTTGGCTATACCCATCGTCTGACAGTGACATAGAGGTTTTTTTTTTTCTTTTAAAAACAAGCTGGTTTATGTAGAGAGCAAATCTGTGGTGTTGGCCTCAAACTGAACAGGTCTGGACAGTGATGTCGTATAGAGCAGTGATGAAGAGCAAAGAACACCTGTCCACCTGTTGTCCACCTAGCTCGAGGTATGACTTACAACCTAACTTCAGGAATATAAAACTAACAGTATAAAAGTTGGCATCATAATCCTATAAAGGTACAAGTACAGTTGAGTTGACGTCATTTTATATTACTTATACCAGTGTTTCTCAAACATGAGTCATTTATGGGGTCATCTTCATGAATTTTTTCATGCACATGTGTCATTAGGTAAAAAATATTTTTCTTTAAATCGCTCACTTTTAGAGCAGATCTTTATTTAAACACAGCATAAATATATGGAGACATGCAGAAACCCATAAGTGTTCAGCTTCATAAATTTATCACAAAGTAAATACGCCTGCATAATCATCAACTGGATCAAAAAGTACTACCGGTAGCCTGGAAGTCCCTCTGCCTCTTTCCTCCCCATTGATAATCACTCTCAACTCTGAACACCATAGATTGTTTTGCCCATTTTTGAACTTTTAAATGATCTCACTTATTTTACTTAGTAACTTTATTTTAAAAGACTGCTTTGTGTTTACTACAAATGGAAAAATTAGTGTTTGTCTAATACACATTAAAAAGATAATCATTTAGCCTGGCCAGTGTGGCTCAGTGGTTGAGTGTTCACCCATGAACCAAGAGGTCACTGGTTCGATTCCCAGATTGGGCACATGCCCGGGTTGCAGGCTCAGTCCCCAGCAGAGGGCGTGCAGGAGGCAACTGATTGATATTCCTCTCTCATTGATGTTTCTATCTCTCTATCCCTCTCCCTTCCTCCCTCTCTAAAATAATAAAAACATTAAAAAAAATTTTTTAAGATAATCATTTAAATAAAAAGTATTTATATATCACCTAAAATCATTTTAAATGCTACCAGTGGTATGTGTACCACACTTAAGGAACACTGACTTATAATTGCAGACATTTAAAATAGGAAAATAGAATTTAAGTAACAGTTGAGGCTTTTGAAAACAATAAACATAACAATATTTAGTTTTGCCAATGGTCATCTGTATATCATTCTTTTGCAGACACTATGTACCCATCCACAATTTGCTCTTAGCAGTTTTTTAATGTATATTTGATATTTTATTTCCAGGTGTAATCTAGCCTGATTTATTTTAAGCATCATTATAATTTCTCATTAGCAAAATTGAGATACAAAGAATTGATTTGTTCACGTTTTATTTTAGGAAAACTAGGGTTTAAGGTAGCGTCCCTTATCATTGCCCAATTATTTGAAAAAGGATATGTAACCTGTAATAATAACCTGTGCTTCCTGGTGGGATCAGGGATTGGGCAAAATTTCACAAGGGGTCAACCAAATCTGTTAGTTTCATTCCTCCAAAGGTCATAAGTGTTTAAAAGAAAATATTTCCAGCTACTTTTCCCCTGTGGATATAGTTTCTCCAACAATATTTTATTTTATTTAATTGATTGATTTGAGAGAGAAAGAGACATCAATTTGTTGTCCACTTATTTATGCATTCATTTATTGATTCTTGTATGTCCCCTGACCTGGAATCAAACCCACAGCCTTGGCGTGTGGGGACAGTGTTCTAACCAAGTGAACTACTTGGCCAGGGTTCTCTGACAATATTCTGATATCTAGGAGTGCACACAGTGTTTGTCAGAAATGCCTTTTAACTTAGCTCTTTTTCTACACTAGACTATGAGCCCGTGGAGGGCAAAGATCCTTTTGCATTCGTAGTTCTCTATCTGCACATTGTGGTTTCTATACATAGTGGTTGAATGAATGAGTGAGCAAGGAAATGAACTTCCTGTTAGCAGGATCGTATTCATGTAAACTCACTTTTGACAAAGTGGTCTCTAAAAAGAGCAAATAAAATAAATTTATCTATGATTTATTTTTTTAAAATTTTATTCTACTGATAGCTTTAGAGTGAAAACTTCCTCACAGCATGGATGGATGTCTCTGGTAACTGAAATCAACAGTCTTGAAATTCTCATGTTATATTTCTTACACAAATTTTAGGCAAGAGAACACCTTGGAAGGGAATTCTCTTATTTGGGCCACCTGGAACAGGAAAGTCCTATTTAGCCAAAGCCGTAGCCACAGAAGCAAACAACTCAACATTCTTTTCAGTACATTCCTCCCACCTTGTTTCCAAGTGGTTAGGTGAAAGTGAAAAGTAAGTAATAAATTGATTTTTTAAAATTTCTTCTTTACCTACTAGTCACTATTTCACTCTATAAAATAATAAATTCTTAAATCATTAATAGACATTCAGAGAATTGATATCATATAGGTATTTTCTCTGTCAAATCAGTCCCTACTTTGGAATTTATTTCACAGGAGAAAGATAACATATATGTATAGTTTAGTAAATTGTAAAGTGGATTATCCAAATGTAGCATTCTTATTTTCTGGACCAAAACATGATTAAGCTTTTTCATTTATAGAGTTCCTATAATATTGTATATTGTTTTGTTTTCCTCTTTTCATTAAGCCATGTGTTGTATACTATTTTCCAGAAACTGAAAGCTTTTATTTATTTTTAGGCTAGTTAAGAACTTATTCCAACTTGCCAGAGAGAATAAACCTTCCATTATCTTCATTGATGAAATCGATTCTCTGTGTGGTTCAAGAAGTGAAAATGAAAGCGAGGCTGCACGTAGAATTAAGACGGAGTTCCTAGTTCAAATGCAAGGTGGTGTCACTGATTTCTAAAATAGTTTCTATTTATTCTACAATCATTATTAAAACAGTAATGTAAAACTTGAGCAGAATTTGTTCATTCTAACAGACTGTTTCATTATGCCGTGTTTCATTCTGTCTTCCATCCAGTTGTAATCATCTTGTGGGACTTGATGGTATAAATAATAAAGAGATCTATATATTCGCTTATACCAGAAGCAGTATCAGTAAAAGGAATATGTAGATTTCAAATGAAATCTCTCAAGAAATATTTTGAAAAGAATATTAATAGTATTTGTCCAAAGTCTAGGAGATTTGAGTCTTGGGGATATTTGCATCATATTTTAGTAATTTGATATTTGATTCAATATAGTTTTTTTCAGAGAGAGACTCTCAGAATGAGGTACTTTGATGTTAATGTATCACATTGTTAACTGGACAGAGAGACAAGGTTTAACGAACACTAAAACAACAAATTATTAAAAATATTGCCTATTTTGATGCAGGTGTTGGTGTGGACAATGAGGGAATTTTGGTTCTGGGAGCTACAAATATACCCTGGGTTCTGGATTCTGCCATTAGGCGAAGGTATGATATGACAGTAAATATCTTATATCTAACTAAAGATGTAACAAGTGAGTAAGAATTTCCATTCTCTCCAGTGAGGAATCATTCTGACAGGTTTGCAGAATGTTTTTTAATGTTCCCTAACCCTGTTGCCTTGGGGAAGGGAGACAGGCATCTGTTTGTTTGCTTTATTTGTTTGCTATATTGAAGATACGAGATTTTCACACACTGGAATCTTTCACATTGGGAAAGATAATAACTAATATTTACCTTTAGTTTTGATTAAGGCACTGATGCTTCAAAAATTTATAAATATAGTTTGATATTCCAGTGAAGAACCATCATGTAAAACTTTAGCAAAATGACAATAATACAAGTTGAAGAATTATAACTGAGATATATTTTCAGTTAAAAAATATGTCTGTAACTTTTAAATTGCATATGAAACTTGAGCTGCAGGTAAGATATCCACTCTGACAATATTTTACTGCTTCACAATTCCCTGTTTCATTCATTTACTTTTACATGGTAAAAATTATCATTTTAGTTTTTGCCACTCTTATTCCATCCACTTGATGGTTTCCCAGGATGCTAGATTACCACCCTATACCAAGAAAGGAAATGTGCTGGTTATTTTTTTTAAATATCTTTTGTTCTTGTTGTTGTTAATCCTCATCTGAGGATATTTTTCCATTAACTTTTAGGGAAAGTGGGAGAGAGAGGAAAAGGAATTCATGACCTGAAACATCAATGTGAGAGAAACACATCAACTGGTTGCCTCCTGCACGAGCCCCAACCAGGGCCCAGGCCAAGGAGAGGGGGGGGGGGGGGGGCGGGGGAGAGAGAGAGAGAGAGATGTGGTGGTGTGTGTGTGGGGGTGTGTAACCCTTTGGTCTGCAGGCCAACACTCTATCCACTGAGCCAACTTGTTATTTTTTAAGATGGCTTAATTCTGGGCCCATCTCTGGAGATAATGACAACTTTTTAGATTCTTTTCATTGCCACAGAACATTATCTAAAGAAAAGAAAAAAACATCTTCACAGACCACTTAAATCTTTCCCCATTGCTTTCTTCCCATCTCCAAATACTGAAATTCTAAGAAGGCAAGCAAAATTATTGTTACTAAAACCTGGTGCTTAATTATGATACAGTAGAATTATTTGTTCTGGATACCCATTATAATAAAGTGGACATTTTGTATAATAAATATGTCTATTCTAAAATATTTTGAGTGCGTTTTCAATTTTGAATTTAGAGAATTATTTTGTCATCTCTTGTTTCAAGGTGTTAATTACATTAATCTTTTGATCAGCTCAGAGTATAATTCTATGGGAAACTGTAATCTTGGAGGACATGTCATGTCATGAATTCCAGGCATATAAACACTATGGCAAGATAACCCAAAAATCGTGTGAGAAAGACTAACCAATTTCAGTTGGTTCCGTGGCTATTCTGGTTTTATTTGTTTTGTGTTGCAGGCATTTTACCTTCGTTTAACTTAAATACATGTTTAACTCTAACACATATGGGCCCATTTAACTTATTCAGCTTAACTTTGTACAAATGAGAATATCTAAATATCTTGTTTCTTAAAAATATCCTAATTTTCAATTGAAATGAAATATATATAGTAATATCCTTCATGTAATGTTTTTCATTTTAAGATTTGAGAAACGAATTTATATTCCTCTGCCTGAGGCCCCTGCCCGAGCTGCAATGTTTAAACTGCACTTGGGGACCACTCAGAACAGTCTAACAGAAACAGATTTCCGAGATCTCGGGAAGAAAACCGAGGGTTACTCAGGGGCAGACATAAGTGTCATTGTGCGTGATGCACTTATGCAGCCTATTAGAAAAGTGCAGTCGGCCACTCATTTTAAAAAGGTAAGGAATTTTTATCTGTCCTTCATATGGTTTTAACTGTGTGTGTGTGTGCTTGTGTGTGCTTGTAAGTGTGTACATGTGCATGTTTTTTTATCTTAACTTATTTTCTCCCTGTGATCATTGTAAGAAATTTCAAAATACAGAAAAGCATCAAGAAAAAAATAAAATCAAGCAAGATTTATCCCATCACCCAGAGATAATCAATTTTTGTTGTATATTATTCTATTTCATGTTTAATGAAACATGAAATAATAGTATATTTTCAAATTTTCTGATAATGGCCTAAATCTAATATTTATTTAATTTATCCAAGTAAATATTCTCAACTACTCTTTATTCCAGGTTCGAGGACCTTCCCGAGCTGATCCTAATACCATAGTGGATGATCTCTTAATGCCCTGTTCTCCTGGGGACCCTGGTGCCATTGAGATGACGTGGGTGGACGTCCCTGGGGATAAACTTTTGGAGCCGATTGTTTCCATGGTTTGACATTTTGTTTCATTTTTGGCAAAAATCATAAACATTATACTTTGTAATTTGTCAACTATAAAAATTTTCAGTTAATGTAAGATTAGCTAGAAAATGTTAGCATAATCCGGTATGTTTATTTAATACGATCTACTCACTTAAAAAGTTGTAAAAAGTAACTTAAGAGAAGAAATAATCTTTAAAATGTTTTCTTAGGCTTTGAGAAAAACCTTAATTATCAATGATGAGTTATTTTTTTAAAAACACAGGCTTCTGACCTTACAGGTCTTAGAGTTGGGATATTATTACCAAAATGCTCATATATATTGTGTAAATTATTGTCAAGCCTTAACTGAAAAGTAGGGCTGGTGAAAAATTTTCCCCCTGAATCTCACATTTGGTAAAATATCCAGAAACCGTAATGTAGGTATCATAATATTCATAGTAGTGTTTTTCTATTTCATTTCTCAAGGCTTTATAGAGAGTTTAAATAATGCAGTGCTAAAAAGAATTCTGAAATAATTTTATTTAAAAAATTACATTTCTATTTATATTGAAGGAGTTAAAATAATTCATAAAGCTTGATTTTGTAAGGCATCATTTCTTAGGGAACTTACTATGATTGAAAAGGTTCATTTGTATGTTTTCTTCTTAATAAACACTCAGTTTTGTTTGTTGTTTTTTTAAAATGTATTTTATTGATTTTTTACAGAGAGGAAGGGAGAGAGATAGAGAGTTAGAAACATCGATGAGAGAGAAACATCGATCAGCTGCCTCCTGCACATCTCCTACTGGGGATGTGCCCGCAACCCAGGTACATGCCCTTGACCGGAATCAAACCTGGGACCTTTCAGTCCGCAGGCCGACGCTCTATCCACCGAGCCAAACCGGTTTTGGCAACACTCAGTTTTTTTAAATCTTCTGCTTCCGACACAGATATTCAAAGAGCTTTATGGTAGAATGAACAGTAACTTCCAGGAGAGAAACTTTTACATGATATGTAGACATAAATATAAATATATATGTGAACATATATATATGTATATAAATATGTGTGTGTGTGTGTGTGTGTGTGTGTGTGTGTGTGTACACACATACACGTATTTGTGTTAATCATAATGTTTATCTGAGAAGTTATTCAGAAACCCTTTTATTGTTTCAATCCTTGATTTATTTACTAGTCCTGGTTCTTTTCATCATTTTCATACTATTTTACAAGACACAAAGTGATAGCCTAGAACTTAATTTTTTAACAAATCCCTAATATTAGCCTATTTTTTTACCATTTTAATTTTAAGTAATAGTTAATTCTGATTTATTGATTTTGATCACATAGTATTCTGTTTCACATAAGTATAAGTGACTGAGACTGCTTTTTTGAAGTTGCACTTGGAAAACCCCCCTCTTGTTAAAGGGAAAAAAAACACAGTTAAGGCTGGAAGAGAGATGGGGGCATGTTTTGGAAGGTTCTGATCCTCAGGCTCAGAGGACTGACTACTTCTGGTGGGTAATGAGGATCTATTGAAGGTTGTGATTAGGACAAGGCAAGCAATCGAAAGTTTCTATGCAAAGGAATAACATGGTCAAAGCTGTCCTTTAGAAGAATAAGAGTTTATTGTCAGTAGTTTATGGTATTCAGGTTTGACCTTAGTTGAAAGTCAGTAATTGTGATGATAAAGCAGTGATTAAATCTATTACTAATACTCCCCTCTCCTTTCCCTGACAGGGTGATATGTTACGATCACTGTCTAGCACAAAGCCTACAGTCAATGAACATGACTTGCTGAAATTAAAGAAGTTTTCTGAAGATTTTGGCCAAGAAGGCTAAACCAAAGACATGAGGAAGATGTTTACCGTGTGTGTTCTTTCTGTGGAGGGATTTTTGCCTTTCTTGGATGGCATTCAGGTTATTTCCAGTAAAACACTTTTACCACAGGGAAACATAGATCTCACTTTGCGTTCCTCTACGTTTTATATGTATTTTTGCTCTGTTACCAATTAAATGCTCTTATTAACAAAAATTATAAAATGATGGGCTTTGAAGAAATGAGTTCTACATGAATGGCAAAAAAATAGAAATTACCCAGTAAAAAGAGAATTACAATTGCTTGAGATACAAATTTTTAAAATTGTTATGAATGGTGGTCTTTGTAAAAAAACATTTATCTTTCTTTTTTACTAAAATGAAATAGGGCTTATATCATATTTTTTAAAAATTCTTAAACATCTTTTTCACATTGTAAATTTATTTACCTTATTAAAAATGATAGAATCTTTACTCTCAGGGATGGGTAATAAAACAGCAAAGAGACTGATTGGTCTTGAAAGATTTTGAATTGTGTTCTAGCCAAGGCTCATTAATTTTTTTTGGTAGGTTGACATTTTTCTTTGTGTAGATTTAAATAATTTCTTTTAAATCTGCAAGCTTTTTAAAAAAAAAAAATAAATATATATATATATATGTATATATATACATATATATATATATATATATATATATATATATATATATATGTTTTTATTGATTTCAGAGAGAGGAAGGGAGAGGGTGAGAGAGAGAGGAATATCAATGATGAGAATCATCTATTGGCTGCCTCCTGCACACTGCCTACTGGGGATTGAGCCCGCAACTCAGGCATGTGCCCTGACTGGGAATCGAACCATGACCTCCAGGTTCATGGGTCAATGCTCAACCACTGAACCACACTGGCAGGGCAAGCAAACTTTTATATTTAACTAAATAATACCTTTCACTGTGCAATGTCAAGAACTTTCTAAATTAGGCATTCTCTTTATCTTGAAGGAGAAAATTGTCTATTTCAGTTGTGTCTTTTTGTAGCAAGATTGACCCAAACCAGTAGTAAATAAATATATCCTTTTAAAATAATTCTGCCATAAAATACTGTTATGGGAACCAGTGCTAAAAGGAATGGCCTTCATTTGGATTATGGGAAGTGTCTTATGTGTGATGTTGGTGTGTCTGTGTACATACATATATATAATTTTTAATATAGAGTAGCACGGTTCTTTTACCTTTTTTAAGTTCAGGGAACAGTGTGTCCTGGTCCCACATATGTTGTCAGTGTGTGATGCTTTGTGAAGCTTTAGAAATAACTGATGTCTCATTCAATAATAAAATACAAACGTGATACTATGTTATTTTAATATTTTCAAATAAAAAATCTGAGGGTGTGTATTGCACACTTTAGCATCAACACTAAGTTGTGCCTTGTACATTTGCATTGGCTATACATGCAAAGGATTATTAGTTAGCTAAAATGAGGTAGATACCTTTATTACTATAAAGCTCTACCTTGCAAATACTATAGAATGACTTGAGTCTTAAAGTATATTTGCACATTTACATATTATGCTAAATGGTTGCCTTAGGATTTTCTGTACAGATTGTTTATGTTGATATTAAATGGAAATCATAGGCCTGAAACATGTTCTTACGTGAAGTAAATTGATATAACCTAGTATTGTCTGTATTCTGTGTATGCTTCTTTATTTTGGGGTCTTCTGTATAGGAAAAAATATTATCCACAATGATTAGATACAAAACATAATTTAAAATGACTACATCTGTTTGAGTCTCTGCTTTCCATTCTTTTGAGTCTACACCTAGGAGAACTGCTGGATCATGTGGTATTTCTGTGTTGAACTTTTTGAGGATCCACCAAATTGTTTTCCACAGTGATGGCACCAATTTACATCCCTACCAGGAAACACAAGGGTTCTAGTTTCCCCACATACCCACCAACTCTTGTTATTGCTCATTTTTGTTTCATTTTGTTTGTTTGTTTTTTATATTAGCCACCTTAATGGGTGTGATGTATATTTGTCATTTTTTAAATTAGGAAAAAATGTAATCACAATTTATGTAGACCAACAATGAGGGTAATAGCAGTAGGGATGTAACCCCATTACCAACTTCTGCTATTCATTCAGTCATATTAAGAAAGCCTTTTACAATTTTGATGTTTTTCTCATCGTGGATTTTCTTTTGCATTAATTTTAATTTTTTGAAAATATTGTTTATCTTAATTACTGAATTGTTTGGCCTCTCCTTAAACTTTGTGCTGAGTAAATGCCTCAATTCCTTCACCCTCGTCTCATCCTGCAGTATTTATAGATGAAAGCACAGTTGGAGTTACAAGAAATAAGGTCCCATTTACTTAGCTAGGGCTCTCTTTTTCTAAGCCTATTAAATTAGTCGCCACACGTATTTTACTCTCCAGCCTTTGAGCAAAGAGCTCCTGCTGATGGGCAGGGCAGGGCTGGTTAGCATAAATAGCAACAAAGTCATCATGGGGGTATCCTAAATGATTGACTTACACCAAAAGTAAGCTTTTTTGTAGTTGGGCCTAAAATCTAACCAGGTTTATTTTACCTTTTATGTAAATAAAATGCAAAGAACTTGAGGCAAGTACAGACTACATCTGGATTTTATAATACCTAAGAAGGGAAATTGTCAGGAATGTGTTGGGCGATATGTGTTGTTACAAGTTGGATTCTCCAGGAGCCAGCAAAGGTGGAGTTTGGGGTCAGGATGTTTACTACAGATCAACACCTGTGAACAGAAAGGGGAGGGAACAACTGGGCAGAGGAGGAAGTTAATGTAGAGCGTTCCTGTGTAATTTTTACAAGCTTTCCCTAATGTTAACATCGTATGTAACCATGGTATAATCAAACCAAGAAATTAACGTTAGCACAATCCCATCAACCACACTACTGCTTTATTTTGATTTTACCAATTTTTCCACTAATGTCCTTTTTCTGTTTCAGCATCCAACCCAGGATGGCATTTAGTCATCGTATCTCCTAGTCTCCTTTACTCAGTGATGTTGCCTCAGTCTTTCCTCTCAGGAACTTGAGACACTTTTTTAGTGTTTTATTTATTTTTATTATTTATTTATTTTTGAACGTGAGACACTGGAAGAGTTTTAGCCAGATATTTTGAAGAATGCCCCTCAATTTGGGTTTGTCTGATGCCTTCTCTAATTAGACTAAGGTTGGGGATTTGGGAGAATAACACCATATAAGTGATGTGCCCTACTAGCGTATCAAATCAGGGGGACATGATATCAACATCTTATTCTCAGTGATGTTAATTACCTTCGCTCGTGATTAATAAGGTGTCTCGGGTGGCGGGCTTTCCACAGAAAATTACTATTTTTCCTTTCCACACACTGTCCTTCAGAAGCTAGTTGCCAAGTCTTGCCTTCGAGGAAGGAAAAGGAAATTAAGCTTCCCTCCTGGAGGGAGAGAAATGAAGAATTGTGGGTATATGTTAAAATTACACAGTATTTGGTAACTATTTGGGGGAAGATCCATTGAGAGTATGCATTATTCTGTTTCTCCATAATTTTTTACCCACTCACTGTGGTTCTTGCCTATAGCAGCAATTATTATCTGGTGTTTTATGGTGATTTTCAGTTTCTCTCATTCCTTACATTAATAAATGTTACATTTATTAATTTAAATTCTGTAAGTAAGAGTTGCCCTTTCCCAGTTTCAAGCCTGTTTTGTTTGTTTTTATTTATTTATTTATTTTTAATTAAATCTTTATTGTTCAGATTATTACAGTTGTTCCTCTTTTCCCCCCCATAGCTCCCCTCCACCTGGTTCCCACCCCACCCTTCGCCCTCACCCCCCCCACCACTGTCCTCATCCATAGGTGCATGATTTCTGTTCAGTCTCTTCCTGAATCCCCCACACCCTTCCCCCCCCCCAAGAATAGTCAGTCCACTCCCTTTCTATGCCCCTGATTCTATTATAATCACCAGTTTATTCTGTTCATCAGATTATTTATTCACTTGATTCTTAGATTCACTTGTTGATAGATGCATGTTTGTTGTTCACAATTTGTATCTTTACCATTTTCTTCTTCCTCTTCTTAAAGGATACCTTTCAGCATTTCATATAATACTGGTTTGGTGGTGATGAACTCCTTTAGCTTTTCCTTATCTGTGAAGCTCTTTATCTGACCTTCAATTCTGAATGATAGCTTTGCTGGATAAAGTAATCTTGGTTGTAGGTTCTTGCTATTCATCACTTTGAATATTTCTTGCCATTCCCTTCTGGCCTGCAAAGTTTCTGTTGAGAAATCAGCTGACAGTCGTATGGGTACTCCCTTGTAGGTAACTGACTGTCTTTCTCTTGCTGCTTTTAAGATTCTCTCTTTGTCTTTTGCTCTTGGCATTTTAATTATGATGTGTCTTGGTGTGGTCCTCTTTGGATTCCTTTTGTTTGGGGTTCTCTGCACTTCCTGGACTTGTAAGTCTATTTCTTTCACCAGGTAGGGGAAGTTTTCTGTCATTATTTCTTCAAATAGGTTTTCAATATCTTGCTCTCTTCTTCTGGCACCCCTATAATTCAGATGTTGGTATACTTGAAGTTGTCCCAGAGGCTCCTTACACTATCTTCATATTTTTGGATTCTTTTTTCATTTTGCTTTTCCGGTTGGGTGTTTCTTGTTTCTTCGTATTTCAAATCTTTGACTTGATTCTTGCGATCCTCTAGTCTGCTGTTGGGAGTCTGTATAATATTATTTATTTCAGTCAGTATATGCTTAATTTCTAGTTGGTCCTTTATCACAACCTCGAGGGTCTCACTAGATTTCTTGAGGGTCTCATTAAGTTTATCGGCGGTTTCTAGAAAATTCTTGAAAAACCTTAAAAGTGTGGTTTTGAACTCTATATCCAGTAGTTTGCTTTCCTCCATTTCTGTCATTTGTGTCCTGTTTCTTTGTCTCCGCGTTTTTTTATGCTTCTCTGTGTCGTTAGAGTGGCTTTCTGTACTAGGTGTCCTATAGGGCCCAGTGGCTCAGCCTCCCCAATTACCTGAGGTAGCTACTCTTGGTGCACCCCCTTGTGGGCTTTGTGCACAGTCTTGTTGTAGTTAAGCCTTGATTGTTGTAGGTAATACTGGAGGGATTGACCTCCAGGCCAATTGGCTGTGAGAATCAGCTGTGTCTGCAGTGGGAGAACTTCTGTGCTGGAGACACCCCTCTGGGGCAAGACTTGCTTCAATGGGGCTTTGGTGCTCACTGAGTCTGCCCCCTGAGTGTGTCCTTTATGAATCCGAGGAGCTGCAATCTGGATGGTCCCACTCTGACCACCGGGCACACTGGCTCATGGATCCCTAAGGAGGTGCTAATCTAGCCTCTGCCTGAGACTATCCAGCAGGAGCCAGCTGTGACGCAATGCAAGTTGCCCTGGGGCCTTGGGCCAGCTGCAGTTTGTTAGGTA